ACTAAGAGATCGACGAACAAAAAAAGAAGAAAGCGAATAAAGAAATTGTAATAATTAAATTACCAAAAAAAAAAAAGGGATACATTTTACGATCACTCATTTTTATTTTACCTTTTTTGTTTTTATTCCTTTTTTTTTTTTCCTTTTTTTATATTTTTAATTATACACGGAAAATTTATCGAAGCGTACGAATTAACGTGTTTATCCTGTGTAACTTTATTAAAGTAAAAAAATAGAAAGGAAAAAAAGAATGTAAGGACATAATACATAAGAGAAATAATTATTATATGGTGTCCTTTTTATTTTTATTTTGCTTGTAACATTCTTTTATTATTTAAGTTAGTCGATTGAAAAATCGAAACAATTCGATAATAAAATGATCGACGTATGTTTTTATTCTCGATCACGATCAAGCTCCTCTTCGTTCTTTGCCGACTCTGTCGTAAATTTAACGACACCTCTCTCTCTCTCTCTCTCTCTCTCTCTCTCTCTCATTCCTTCTTCCTCTCTCTTACAACATAATCCTGATTCAAGACCGACGTACGAGGATACCATTGGAATATTAACATTAGAATTGTAAAAGTAGTCAAAATAACGGGGTTTTTTAAATTATTTGTTTTACAGTTATCGTACATGGCGGCGTAATTATTTTTACGAGTGTATTCATTATAAGATAGAAGTAATAGAATGTATTCATTTTTATTTATTTATTTATTTATTTACTACCGTACGATAGTTCGTATCGATAGAATTGTTGTGAAAAATATATTGATCATTCTGATCTTCTTTAAGAAAATTAAAAAAGGAAAAAAAAAGCATAATTACTTTTATAAAGTGTTTAATAAAATTTATTCACTTTCTTTTTTTTTTATTCTTTTTACTATCATACGATAGTTTGTATCGATATAACTGTTAGAAAAATTGATCGATCCTTCTAATCTTCTTGAAATGATTGAGAAAAAGAAACAAATCTTAATAGATTCTCTTAATAGATTCTATGAAACGTAGACATTAGAAATGTTTAGTTTCTCTAACTACTTTCAATGACAAATATTAAATAAAATCAAAAGTGATAGCCAGCTTCATTCCAATGCGTATACAATGTATTATTAACTCGAAGTTTCTCTCTTAAAGCAAGAGAGAACGGAAACAACTTTTCTCTTTTTCTTTACCGTTATGTCGCTGCGCTTCTAATACCGATCGTTTCAATTCTTCGTTCATTAATAATTCAGCGCATTTTCATTATAGTCTTCGATGTTACTTAGGCGTGTGAATATATATATATATATATATATATATCTGGTGGGCTCACGAGTCATTAGATAATTTTAAAATTCAATTACTTTTTTATGAGAATTTTTAAAGAAATTTTTCTTGAAGACGAAAACACTTGATCCACTCTATACATATATAATGTATATAAAGGAAGATTTTGTATCATTAAGAAAAGAAAATCTCTCTCTCCCTCTCTCTCTCTCTGATTCTTATAATCTGACGTGTGATTTTCATTTTGTTTTGTTATGTTTTGTTTTGTAATTTAAACAATAAAAATCTGCTATTTATTTTCCCAACGAAATTCCATGAAAGTTGGACGTAATTGCTAATAAAGTGAACGCGTTTAGTACTATTATACGTAATTAAATTTAATTGGTCCAGGTGTGTTCCGAGCAACGGAATAATAAATAGCTATTACTAATTTAAACTTCTTTCTATTTCTGAACACAACGAGCACATTAAATATCAATTAATTATTATTGTTATTAGATTTTGTATTGTTTGCTTTATTTATTAAATAGTCTCAGTTAAAAATCGATTGAAGGATAAAGTGTTTTAAGATAAAATATCAATTCTATATTTGATGATTTATGTTTTATGAGAATGCATATAATAATAATAATAATAATAATAATAATAATAATAATAATAATAATAATAATAATAATAATAATAATAATAATAATAATAAAAGGAAAGAAAAATATGAAGTAAATAATGATAACAACTAATTAATCGACCTTATTCCGATAGAACTTTCACCGAAATTTTTGATCAACTGACATAACGTATCCGGCAACACAAGAACTGAGAACAGTTATATAGAAACACACTTTACGCAACATTACGAGTGGTAAGTGTTAGCAATCGAGCGTGGCCAATTACGAATGCTGCTGCATTCTAATGATATTAATCGCTAGAGGAAATTACTCCACACCGTGGTACACGGGCTAACGTTCCGTTCAACGTTTGACATACGAAGGAAAAGATTTTCTGATTGATTACGTATATAAAAATGAAAAAAAGAAAAAAAGAAAAAAAAAAGAAAAAAATAGATAAATAAATAAATAAATAAAAATAACATACGCATGTATGTCCAAATTATAATTTGTAATATAATTGATAAACGTGTCAATATTGCAATTGTATAATGAAAATAATTGGAACGATCGATTCAATTAAATAAATGAATAAATAAATGTTGTCTCCTCTTCTCTGTTTTTTGTTTTTGTTGTTTTCTTTTTTTTTCTCTCTTTCTCTTTAAAATGTTATATCGAACATCGTTTTATATAGATTATTCATAATTCTTTGAATAATATCGTGCACCCATCTATAATTTTCAGCCGATCGTATTTCCATCAAAATGATCTCACAAAGATTGTTGAGATCTCACGCAACGTTGAGATAATCGAGCCGGACGATCGTTTCGATGTTGCCGTTGGGAATATTGCGTAAGGACAAACCTTCCTTCCTTCCTTCTCTTTTATTTTCTTTTTTCTCTCCCTCCTTTTCTTTTTACAAATGCATTGTATGCGCATTAATGTATGTACATACGCTTATAAGACGAGATCTTTGGAATAAATAAATATGGAGTCGTTGTTGATTCTAGGTTTTCGAATAAAAATTAATAGTCCCGTTGAAAAGGTATTTTCCTATATCGATATCTTTTTTATCGGAACGAAAGTTTATTATTAAAAAGAAAAAAAAAAAGAAAAAAGAAAACAAAAAAAGAGGAAAAGGAAAAAATAAAATGAAAAAATACAAAAAAAAAAATATATACATATATATATATGTATATAAAATGAAAAATTTATCGAGCGAGTCATCGTACCGATGAAAGTGAGTGGGCTCAGGTAACCCGGAAGGACAGAACGAGTTCTCGGTACCTGTAACATCGAAGGTCCTCGAGAATATATCGTACAGAGACTTGGTATACCTGTTCAAGAAATCTTTCTCAATACGATAAAAGACAACAACTTCGTCTGTTGAAATTAATTCGTATAATTCGTTAAATAATCTCCGTTAAGATCGACGTTGTATATCTTTGTTAGTTTTGTCCGAGAAAAAGAGATATGTTTGTGGAATAAATATTGAATCGTTCTTTTTTTTTTTTTTTTTAATAGCATTCAACTCGACATTTTTCTTAAATCTTTATTCGACGAATCACTAACGCATCTACCGGTTATTGTGTATCAACGATTTGTATTTTACGAAAATATCCACGATGAATTCGATTGACGATTATTATCGTTGACAGATTTCATTAAATCCTTACTCGATGGATCTATCACGAATTAGATCGATTATTTATATTCAAATTATCGTTGATCACGCAGTTTCCATGGAATAAACGTCTTGTTGATCGAAATTATCGTAGATCACGATCTAATCGTCATTCCCGGAAACGGGAAATGTAAATTGGTCGTTAATTATTTCTTTTTTCTTTCGTGGATTTTTCTTTTTCTTTTTTCTTTTTTTTTCTTTTACTTTTCTTTTTTCTTCAATTGTCTTTAGAAACGTTAAGGGAAGGCTTGAAACGAGGAAGCCCGTGAGAAAGAGGAGCCGCGAAAACCACAACCGTTACCGCAGCAATATCTACTTTCTTTTTTATTATTATTGGTCGAAGACGACGAAGACGACGAAAACGACGACGAAGTAAAAAATTAAAAAGAAAAAAAAGAATAAAAGAGAAAAAGAAAAGGGGGGAAAAAATCGATAAATAGAGAAATTTATAATTAATAATTATTAAATGTCGCGCGAGATAGATTTATTATATTTCGTGGAAAGTTGGATGATATTTCTTTGCGTATACGTTCACTGGTCAAGTTGTCTTTTACGTTGGTCTCTATTAGACCGGTTCGGCCGTGGTCTCGCATGAATCCATGCGTGATGTAATATAATCGAAAATGGAACACGTAGAAAGGAAAAAAACATTCCATTGAAAAAAGTCAAACTCGATTCAATCATTTTTTTTTTTTTGCTTTCTTTCTGTTATTCATTCGCGTCGAATCGCGACGAATATCTCAACGAAAATATGTTATAGCTCTTCTTGTCGCTTCCTTCGATGGGAGACGGAGAAAACATTTTCCCATAAAGTTCTTTCTTTCTGTTTTTTTTTCTTTTTCTTCTTTTTTAATTTCTTCTCTTTAATCTTTTTTTTTTCTTTTTTAATATGCCAAATTTACTCATAGGTATATGCAATTTAATTCGCCAAGAATTCATCCTTTTTTCAATCATCTTTTCGATTCGACCGATCGAAAGTATTATAAAAGAAAGGACCAAAACGGGAGAGAGATCGGTATTTAATACGAGAAAGAAGCACCATCGATCATGGAACTTGCTACCTCAAGATCGTTCGTTTCTTTTCGAAAAATTTTCGAAGGACAATTTTCAAGGATATTTTTACGTACCGTTCTCATTTAATATTTACTTTCATTAACCAAATTCTATTCAAATTTCACATTCAATGATTATCCAATACACGCAATACACAATTCTAGGACTACCAAAATATTTGTTAACAAGATTCATAATTTCTTATAAAAACTA